TAGGAACAGTGGATAGCCACGCACATTTCTGTCGTACAGTATTCTTACTGCTTAGTTACAATGTATGCGGTGGCATCATTTTATACCTACCGATGACCTGCTAATCTTTTCTGAATAACGACTAGGTTATATAGAAGCACAAAATGTCATAGCCAAGATGACTTAGTCGCTGAGAGTTTTAAAGTAAAATTGAAATGATTTCCTAATTTCAGATTTCCTAATTTCAGATTTCCGCCTCTTATAAGAAACAGTGTTCTCCTAGAGAAGAATTTTATTGATTTCGCCCATTCCTAAATTCCTTAAATGTTTTCCAAGCTTTTCCTTGTATATAATCAAGCCATAGTTAATCTACCTGTAAATAGGCTCTCATGACTATTGTATAATGTATTCTCTGGGTTCGATCTTCCTTTTTTACGTTCAAGTGATATTTTTAAAACTTTATTAGAACTGTTTTAAATATGTTTTTTCAATCTTTACATCTTGCTCTTTGTCTTGCCAGTTTTTTGTCTGATAGTGTTTTCTATCTGTTCCCAATCTTTTGGTTTCATTTCGTGTAGATGTGCACCAAATGAAGAGTTGTGATTCAGATACTGTTGTCCACCATCAAAATCAATAATCTGGAAAGAAATAGGATGCTTTCTGTTGGCACGATGTTTTAAGTGTGTTAAAGTGGAGAAACTTACCGCTCCATTCATCCAACTGGCATAATTCGAGCACATGTAAGCGGCAAGATTAGCAAGTTCTTCGGGTTTTGCCAATCTGCCAACAGGAACTGTTGTGGCCGATGCCGCTTCCATTTCTTCTGGATCCGCTATGGACAGACGAGAAAATGCTCCCTGATTGATAAGAATTAATAAAAATAAACTTCTTAAAAATGCTTTCTCAGGTAAATCAAAATATTTTTCAGAAAGAAGATCTAGTGAGATTGCTGCAATAGGAGGTTATTTTCACTGGTAAATAACAGATTATGACTTAAATTGACGATCTGAAAGGCTTGCTAGTGGGAATTTTAGAAAAGACATTATATTTCTTTTTTAGGGGCACTCCAAAAGATTATCATTTTTAAAGAATCGAAAGT